GGATTCCAAATTGCTGAGAAGTTTCATGATTTGGGGGTGGGGGGAGTTTACCCCTTAACAGAAGTCTGCTCCAAAATAAAAGGTTTAAAAATTATAATTTAGAACAAAGTTATAAAAATGAAAATCTTAAAAAAGTTTTTACAATTAGTACTGAGAATAATCTTCAGTGTTTTTTAAAGTTCTTATTATGTTCTAGTGTTAAGCCCTGTGCTTATGTTATTTCCTTACATCCTCACAACAATCCTATAAAGTCATTTAAGAGAAGAGTTGGATGTTAAACAGCTTGCTCAAGCAGTGACACTGATTTTGACCTACACTACCCGTCTCAGACAGTTCCTTTTGAAATTAGTGCATTACTAATTACCTTAAAAACTTTACTGAAGTAAGAATAGCTCTACTTTCATCTGCATATCTATGGATCTATACTGCTTCAACACATGAAAAATGTGGCATTATAATCCAAACTGGCCTGTAACAAGCAAAGTATGAAATGAGAGAAAGCCTTCAAAAAGTTTTATAGCAATATGATATTTACAGTTATAGGAGTAATTGTATGTCTGTTAAATCTCACAATACTGCATTTGGGCTTGTATTTTGTATGCTTTTTTTTTTTTTAATTATTTGTTTTATTTTTGGCTGTGTTAGGTCTTCGTGGCTGTGCGTGGGCTTTCTCTAGTTGCGGCGAGCAGGGGCTACTCTTTGTTGTGGTGCATGGGCTTCTCATTGCAGTGGCTTCTCTTGGTACGGAGCACGGGCTCTAGGCGTGCGGGCTTTAGTAGCTGTGGCACGCAGGCTCAGTAGTTGTGGCGCACAGGCTTAGCTGCTCTGGGAGTGTGGGATCTTCCTGGACCGGGGCTCAAACCCGTGTCCCCTGCATTGGCAGGCAGATTCTTAACCACTGCGCCAGCAGGGAAGCCCTGTATGCCTTTTTTCCACTTCATTTTCTTAGTATTTCATTTCCACAAGTATATTGCTCTGCAATGGAATGGAAGTTAAACAAAAACTGGCATGCACCAGAGAATTTGAGGAGTGCTGCCCTAGAGCTCTGGTGCAAACACTTTGCTTTCCCAGCTCTGTGACAAAAAGGAGACATGCTCAGGTAGATGACAATCCCCAGACCATCAATATAAAATCTCACTCTGGCTATCATTTATATCTGAACTTCATTCCTCAATCAGAGCACCTGATAAGCTGGGTTTATCCTAGGTAATGTTAAGTTGCAGGCTCTCAACCTACTTATGTAGCATTTTCATTTAGAGTCAAAGAAAACTGCTCATTAACAACTGAATCTTAAAACACAATATAGTACTAAACTAGTGTGCCCAACTCTTTTATCTGACAAAATCTCATTTGCATAAAGCATGTTTTGGCTGCCTTTACAAGTTTAATTTTTCTCCTGCCCATATGCTGAAGAAGAAAGCATCGTGATTATCAGTCACTTATAAATGCATTTGAGAATCAGAGATTTTGTTCCTTTGTTTTAGAAGTCATTTAGGCATAAGGAAGTTACAAAAGCATCAAGAAAGTTGGTTGAGGGGCAAGGCAGTGGAGAAAGTGACAAAAAAATCAATGCCACACAAACCTCTTGACGGTCAGATATGGCAGCTAGACACCACTGCTACAGCAATTTCAGACTACTTGATTTTAACTCATTTCTAAATACTAATCCTGTCATAATTAATGGCTTTATTGATCTTTTATTCCTGCTCTGAGAAATTCTGAAGAAAAAAGTTTTGAATGACAAAGCAGCAGACAGATTAAGAACATGAATAAAAAGCGTATCTTTTCATATAAATGAAAGTGAACTGCAAAATAAATTAGGTTTATTGGTCCTTTTATTTATAATAACTCCAGTCCCCAAGAAAAGCTAGACTTCCTTAAAAAGAAAAGTTGTTTAGCCAATGTAGGAGTTTGGGGAGCTATTCACTAAGGGTATAAACTGTGCTTCCTAGTCTCCATGAATGAAGTTTATTTTATTTTATTTTTTTGCAGTACGCGGGCCTCTCACTGTTGTGGCCTCTCCCGTTGTGGAGCACAGGCTCCGGACGCACAGGCTCAGCGGCCATGGCTCACGGACCCAGGCTCTCCACGGCATGTGGGATCTTCCCGGACCGGGGCAAGAACCCGTGTCCCCTGCATCGGCAGGCGGACTCTCAACCACTGCGCCACCAGGGAAGCCCTGAAGTTTATTTTTTACACATTTATCGTCTCACTAGTTTCGCAATACACTGATCTATAATAATAGTATAATTTGTCTAGAAAAAAAATGCTAATTCCTAGGAGATAAAAATCACCAGTTGAATTCTAAAATGTCTTTAACTAAGTTACACATAACTTTTATTTTTGTCCTAACAGCTCAAAATGCAGTTACTGCTGTAATAATGAACAGATATTATGAATGATGATTTATAGCATTTCAAGACCTGCATCTGGAAAAAGACCATTCGATCATCCATTTAGAAAGCCATAAGTGACATATCATACTAATTATCCTTATTAATAGCCTAGTTAATTACACCACCCACATACACATTTCCTTCAGTGAGAAAAGAAGATAGCGTATACCTGCGTATTGCAAAAGTCACTCAAGACAGTTTGAGAAAATACTGAAACTGGAAAAGGTCTAAGAATTTTATAGAAATAAAGTTCTATCAGTTCTTCATTTGAATTAATTATATTTCTTGATAAATGTTATCTCAATACGTTTTAAAATATACAAACCAACTTAAACTTCACAAATGTCAGCCCTAATAATATCAACTCAATTCTACTGTAGTTATAAGAAAATATGATTTATGCCAGAGGAGAGATAGCAGGCTCACAAAGGACTGGGCAGGCGGGTTGCCCAAATGAGTGAAGTAGGCTTCACGGCCAAGGACCGTGACAATCTACCACTACTCAGTTCTAGCCAACTGTTACCTTGAGGAATAAAGACAAAAACCAGTAACAATAAAATTAACATTCTGCCAATCTAATAAAGTAAGTCTGTAGGCTAGATTTGATACATGGGCTACCAGTTTGCTACCTCTGCCACAAGGGACAGAGTGGTTAAGAATTGCTCTGAGTCAGAAAAACCGAGACTGAAAAAACAGCTGTGACTCTAACACACTTGATGAACTCGTCCAAGTTACATGATCTAAGTGTCAGTCTCCTCATCTGTACCTCACTGGGTTTTTTAAATGAAATTAGGTAATGTATATGTTCAAAAAATTGTAGCTCAATGTTATCATTAGATGCTGAAAGGAATGGATAAAAAAAAGGAAACGGAAAAGGAGCAGCAGCAATTCAAGTCCCCCTTCTATCTGGCTGTGGGCTTTATTTCTCAAACTCATAATGCCTAGTTCCGCCTTCTTTCTCACCCACAGGTTATTTTCTTTACCAGCAATGAATGCCTCCTCTTTCCTCAGGTTTCCTCAAGGCCTACCTCACACCTCACCTATGCCTTTCCTTTATATCAATACTTCAGGCCATTCTCCACTCCCCTTTTCTTTGAAGCACTTTCAGGACTGGCAGTGAAACTATCTTACTGCTGAA